GCACACGCACACGCACACGCACACGCACACGCACACGCACACGCACACCTACTATATATATATATATACATATATATATATATCAATCTATGTATGTCTGTATGTCTGTATATATATACACAAACACACACACAGTCGCGTGCACCTACATGAGCTACGTTGTCTGCGCCTTCCATGCCCCATTCGCCGAATTCGTTGAGTTTCGCATTGATGGCCAACAGCCACTCCACCACCGCCGGACTGCGCTCCTTCAGTCCCAGGCAGATGATGTATCTATAAATAGAACAAGGAAATGGGCGCGAACTTTGGTGAATGGGGAGTGTATCTATCAATAGAAAAGTGGTATCAGGTATACGCAGTGAGTACGATTACCAGAAAAAAGGGGGAAATTAAGCGAGCCAGAGATTGGATTTATTAATAGCACAGACTAATCCTGAGCAGAATATGTTCTTATAAATAGAACAGCAAGAGGAGCGCGAAAGCCGGTGCGAAAGGTACTATATCTATGAATAGTACAGACAGTGAGTCCCAGATAATGTCCTCTACGCAAAGGCATAACGCCTGAAATCACGTAAGTCACTACAGACAACAAGACAGGGACAGCAAATCAATACGTTCACACACGTCAAATACGCATACACGCCTCTACAAACAGCCAATCATCCCAGCGCAAGGCGTAAGACTTTAGGGCACGTACTTGCGATAGGCCTATACGTCCGTGTATGTAGTATACTATCTCTCGTTACGTGAACGATACTCACATTGCTGATGCATACACTCGTATATATCCTCCACAAGTACGTATTCTCCCGTGTATGTATATACGTAAAAAAAACAGTAATATCCACATTGATATTACTTACACACGTACATATCCCTCCATAAAAAATACTCTCCCGTGTACGTATATACGAAAGTTATCAGTAAAACCCACATTTATACTACATACACTCGTACACATCCCTCCACAGGTACGTACTCTCCCGTATACAGACACACATCGTCACAACTGTCAGCCATATTCACATAGATTTATCTACACACTCCCAACATATCCAGCCAAAATCACACACTCTCCCATATACCACCACAGTCGCCGTATCACACACCTCTCACTGTTTGCCGGGCGGGAAGTGAAGGGTTTCAGGATGCAGACTTCGTCAAAGTGCTTGTACATGACATACACCAACCCCACGGTAAAGGGAGTGAACATGTCAAAGATCTTGCACACAAAGTTACCGCCTTTTCTAAGCACAGACAGTGCTACGGTGAACTGGCATAGCACCAGCTGCTTCAGAATCTCCTCTTGATAGTTCTCTTCACCCTCCACACTGAATCCACCTGATGTGTGTACACCCAGGGCCGTAGTAGGAAGAGCAGAGTTATACAATGGTCATGTATCAAATCAAGGATAAAAATAAATAAACCTAAACAAAATGGAGTACGCAGCCAAGTATACAATATATTCAATGGCCGTGCATCAAAACAAGGATAAAAATAAATAAAACAAAACAAAATGGAATACTCCGTCAAGTATACTATAGGTCGACTATAGGGTTAGTTATACTATAGGTCGACTATAGGGTTAGTTCGAAGATTGTAGCACGCTCAGTTATTTGAAGCTATAGTGCAGGTGAGAACAGAGACACTGATTCTGTCCCATGGTACTGAGGTGAACACAAACGCTTACCGTCTGCCATCATCAGGTGCAGTCCAGTTTTGTTGCTTTTGATACTAGTCAGCTTGGTAAATGCCCGGATGTTGGCTTCGTTAGTCACATCTCCCGTCCCTGCGCAATAGACAATTATCCAGGAAAACACGGTTGATGATACTGAGAGAAGTCGTGGGTATGCAAATGCCGACACGAACTCAGTGAATATCACCGAGAGAAGCAGAAGTGATGCTAGGTTGACACAGACATCCATAGCAAACGCATTTGATAGCAATCAATGAGCCCACCGACCATGCATTTGGCTAACCAAATCCGTATCAGATAAACCTTGCAACGTATCAGGACAAGGATACGTATTTTATGTCTACTTTGGGGTTCAAATGTTTGGTTCGAGTGAGGGATGTTCGTGAGCGTACCTAAACGTAGTTAATGTGTTGATAAAAAGCATTTATATAGAACGCACTCAATTGTAGAACAGGCCCAAAACAGCCAACAACGTATATCAAAACCAAACACACAAACACACGAGCACTCCATTTATATAAAAATCAGTAAATAAATAAATAAATAGATAACTAGATATAACTAGATATATATATATATATACATAAAACATATACATACATACATACATAAACATACACACACACATACATATATAAATATATAAATATATAAATATATAAATATATAAATATATAAATATATAAATATATAAATATATAAATATATAAATATATAAATATATAAATATATATATATATAATACATATAATACATAAACACATGCACACAAAACACGCTCATGCACGCCAACCACACTCTGTCCCAAACTATCCTATGCCGTGCACACTCACCATCAGCGCCATAGAATGTTTCGAAGTAAGGCTCAGTGGGCTGGCGATTGAATTCGTACGGTTTAAAGTCATCCGGACCCCTCAGCGTGAAACCGTATCCCTTGCACCGTTTCTCGCGTTTCCAAAGTACGTATTCTGAAAACGGGTGTGGATGGTAGCATTGATAAGCATGTGTTGTTATATTGTACGTATTCTGGGCAAGCGATTGTATGCTGGTGTTGATTAGTACGTGTAGGTCAAGTCTGTAGTTTGACGGAGGAATCGGATAATGGTACTAAGTGATGCGAATGGTAGAGTATGGGTGTCGTAGAAGTGCTTGGAAACTCTATGTGTATAGACATCAGTCGCACAGTACGTGTTTTGAAACAGTGGTTGAAGGCTACCGTACACAAGTATGTACAATATGCACGCAGTCAAATGCATACGGGTATGCAACGTACTTCAGGCAACGTTTGTAACAATGTTACATATGAAGGTACATATCTTGATTAACACTACTGTATAGGAGATCAGCTTGCCGGAACATTGTGCTTACAACAGGTAGGAGTTGCCTCAATGAGAGTGCGTCCCACGAATAATGTCAACATGGATCGATAGAAATGTTGGGTATCCCATTTACAGGCATACGCAGGAAGCGTACCAGTCAATACACTGCCACAGGAACGCGAGTATAGCACAAAATACCGAGCACATCCCGTACATGAATATTTACAAAAATATGTGGGTATCAATACTTATGCATAGGCAAAAAATACCAATATATCAAGATACCAATATATACCAATATATACCTGAGAATATATATATATATATATATATATATATGGATGGATGCACACACACACATATGTATATATATATATATATATATGCGTGTGTTTAAACCACCATACATACCTGAGAATCCACCAGGGCCAGCACAGACATCGGCGAATAAAAGTGGTTCATTAAAAGCCAACCCCTCGGGCGAGGTGAAGATCCAATTGAGCATCGAGTCCATATTTGCCATTTTAACAGCAGCTCTACAGCGTGTGGAAGAGTGCGCAAGTGGCTGAGTGACTTGACACGAACTTACATCTGTGACGTTTTTACCATACATATATATATATCATGAGATGTAAGTAGTACAGCCGCCGGAACATAACTACTCGGGATGCTACGAGTGCGTACCTGTTAATGAAGACATTGCCACCCTTTCCAATAGTCTCGTACGGGTTTGCTTTCCTTCGCGCTGTGATAAATTCCCGCCGTTCCAAACCATTGAACTGCGATTTGGCCTGTTCAGAGATGACAATACAATGGGGGTTCCAACGGAAAATGGGTGAGTGTATATGTTATAAGCGTGCACTTACAACTATGAGCCAAATCGTGTGACACCGCACTTGCAATAGACAAAGAGTGTGGGAAACCGAGACTATAATTGCTTGTGGTGCAGGACATTCCTCAAGGTACTTGCTTCAAGGTATAATACTTCAAAGTATGTCAAGGGATGTTGTGCTGTTGTTTGCGTGAAGGTTGTGAATAAAGACGTGAGACAGGAGGACCGTACCGCGGACACACACACAAGTCTACAAACACACACACACACTCAATGCCCACACACGCTATACCAAACACACATAGGCGTACACAAGTACATGACAGCACACACACATTATATCAAACACAAGCAGACGTACATACGTACAAGTGTAGGAATCCCTTGCAAACCCTAAAACCCTAGATCATATCCGCCACTAGAATACGCCTGTACACTGAACGAGCACACACAAGTGCAGAACTAGGCTGTGCAGCCCTAGTGAGCATAAGTATATACATTTGCGAATAAGCCAACAAATACACCTACAAACTCACACGTACACACTCACAAAAATACACCCATACGTACACCCACACATCCACTCGCACAAATATACACTCAGAAGTATACACCCACACATACACACGCACAAGTATACAGGTCAGCACACACACACACACATCTCAATGTGTCATCTCCAAATACCCAAACACGCACGCCTCTTATAAATGGAGCACTACACCACTGTTGAAGATAGAAACCGCAACACACTCACATAGGCAGATGCAAGTGTTCGTATTCATAGACTGACACATACACACACGCATACCTCGATGAAACATTCCATAAACACCCAACAAACACACATACACAGATGCAAGTTTTCACAGTTATTGACTGGCACATTCACACACGCATACCTCGAATAAGCGTTCAACCACCGTGCTATCACCAAACAGATCGTAATTGATGCTCTCGTGAGGTGCTACCACTGGTCGCAGTGTCTCTCCACCAGACGTTAACAGCGACGCACCCCACTGGGGATCATATTCATCTGTTGCGATGGGGATAGGAGAACAGGAGGAGGTGGGTATGTGAGAATGAGAGGGTACTAGAATGTGAGGTTAAAGGAATGAGAGGATATGGGAATGTGAGGATATGAGAATGTGAGGATATGAGAAAGAGAGAATATGAGTAAGTGAGGATATGAGAATGTGAGGATTTGAGAATAAGAGGATATGAGTATGCGAGGATATGAGAATGAGAGGATATGAGAATGTGGCGATATGAGAATAAGAAGATACGAGTATGATAGGATATGTATGTGAAATGAGAGGATAAGAGCATGAGAGGATATGAGTATGTGAGGATATGAGAATGAGAGGATACGAGAATATGAGGATATGAGAATAAGAGGATATGCGCAAGAGAGGGTATGGGGATAAGAGGATATGAGTATGTGAGGATATGAGCATGGGAGGAAATGAGCATGAGACGATATGAGCATGAGACGATATGAGTATGTTAGGTATGAGTATGTTAGGATATGAGCATGAGAGGATATTGTGTGAAGGGCCACTGCATTGGATGTGTGCGAGACCACCGTCAAAGCCAAACGGGGCCATGCAGCATAATCCATTCAACCTTTCCTGTGTCGGAAGCGGTAGTTTAGTACAATCCATATAACTCTCCAGTACAGAACACAGTAATTCGACATACCTGGGTGACTGATAGTCGTGTACTGTTGCTTGTGCGGCACGTACTCATTCAGGTCCACGGCGTGCCGTTTGCGCGTAATTAGGGGCTTCTCCTTCTGGAATCCTAAACCGGTACGTCCCGCATTATCATCGGCTTTGATGGGCTCTACAATACCCTGAGCATGCAACCCCAGGCCCGTACCTTCCGTCCAACCTTTCGCCTTAAGTAGCTTCGCACCCAACCGACTGTATGTATTCGTATGCTCCCCCTCGTTCTCACTGTCCATATCCTCCCCGATACTACCCACCTCCGTTGCTATGGCAACCCCCGCGCTCTCATCCGCAGCACTAAAACCAAGACCCCCCCTTCCGCGTGTTTGGCCTAACCCACCCAATCCGCCGCCCTGATAGTCCCAGTCATCGTAATCCCCTACATCCACTTGCTCCCCCTCAGTCGCACTGATGGTATCCGCCTTGGCAGTGCCCTTGGGCGTACCAGTCTCACCCGCTGTGTCTTCGTTCCCTGTCCCTTGTGAGGGTGTGTCCCTGGTGATTGCCTCAGCATCATCTATAGCTGACTCGTCTTTAATTGTCCTAGACGATGCGGATTCGTCTTTAATTGTCTTCCTTAATGTTTTCTCTATGACCGTTCCGTCTGCCGTCTTCTCCGTGATAGAGGCCTCCGTGTCCTCTCTAATAGTTCCCCTTAAATTACCCGTTTGTGTTTCTCCGCTCAACACTTCCGTTTCTTGTGTGGCACCAGGCTCCCCGTGCAACTGATTGTCATTTGTCTGATTGTCGTTTGTCTGTTCGTCATTTGTCTGATTGTCGGTTGTCCGATTGTCGCTTGTCTGAATTTCGCCTGGCTGCTTGTCATTTGTCTGATTTTCACTTGTCTGATTGTTATTTGTCTGATTATCGTACTTAATTTTGTCTGCCACGTCAACCACTAATATGACCTGATCCGCACGACCATCGAGCATCCCCTCTTTGGCAGATATCGACAGCTCCGCTTTGTCACTTGGTATGGTCTCATGCTGTAGCGTCGAAGTGGTCGTACCCTGTCCCACAGGAATAGCTATGCGCTGTTCGATAATTAATCGCCCATCTGGTCCGGTGAGACTTGACTCATCGTGTGTAGGTAATGGTGGTGCATTCTCGTGTGTAGGATCTCTTTTATTGGGGACACTTGCTGTGCGGAGGTGCGTGTGTGGTGAGCTTGTCGTTGCCATCCCACTCACAACGGCTGATCCGGGTGTTTCTTGCGTGACCATAGCAACCGTAACCGTAGTGCCTGCTACACTCACCGTTTCATCTAAATCGCCCGCCTCATTTGCGCCTACAAGCCCAGCCCTACTGACACTTGGTGGCCTCTCAGAACCAACCGGCTCTGCCGCACTGCCCTTCTCCGTTCTATCTATACTAATATTACTAAAACTACTTCTAACTTCTGCACCCCCCGTGCCTGTCCTACCTGTTGACACGCCTGTTGACACTTCCGATGAAACTTTGCTTTTATCATCCTCCACACTCTCCATACTCTTTACACTCTCCACACATCCATCCACTAGTACCGAACTATCTGTCACTGTAGCGTCAACCCGTCCCGGCAGTGTGCTAATTGCACTGGCTACACCACTTCCCAGCCCGTGCGACTCATCTTGTGACACCTGTGACACGTGACACGCTCCATGCGCCTGAGACAACCCCTGCCGCTGCTGTAGCCCAGTTCGCTGGGCGTGTACATCTGCCACCATACCATCGCCCTCAGTGGGGCGCATCGGCACACTGTCCATGCCCGTACACTCTGCCACACCACCACTGTCCCTCTCTGTCCTGTCTACTGCGCTGTGTGTGTTACCAGTACTTACGTGTGCACCGCTTGTATCGACACTCTGTGTATGGGGGGTGTCCCGTGCCTCAGCTGTATCGGCTGTGGTGCTGACACGTGTGCCATCCACTACATTGGTGCGTGGTGGGGCTATGTGTGTATCCTGTGTGGGCTGGACCTGTTCGCGCGTCCCGCTTGTCGCCCGAGTTGTACTGTGATGTGTAGTCTGCACAGGTTGCTGGTTGGTGACTTCGGATACGGTACTCACAGCCTGTGGGGTCTCGGAGGGTCCCGTAGTATGTTGTGTGGTGGGTGCGCTCCATACCCCACCACCTGCTGTGCCTGCGCCTGTGTGTTCACCCATACCCGTCTGTGTAGGTATATCCCCATACACACTCCCACTCGTGCTTACAACCGCAGTACTGATCTCCCTCGTGTCTACAAAGCTATCGGTAGCCGCAGCCAGCCCCAAAAGCGCACTCACAGCGCCCGCCACCTGTGTGTTCTCCATTCCCGAACTTCGGGCACGTTTGAGCTGCGTTGTGTCGGTATGAGTGGCATAGTCGTACTGATATTGCTGTGGGTGCGACACATACCCACCAGCCTGGACAGAGGCATTCAGCCCAGTTGCTACGTGAGTCCCCTCGCCCATCTGCGCCGTGTATGTGTTTTCGTGTGTGGTGGCTGTGTCGGTGGTGGTACCTGCCGGTGGGGCTGGTGGTAAGGCTGGTTGCACGGGTAGTTGCGTGCTGTTATTGTACGAGGACATCTCTGTAGTAGTGGTCTGAGGCCCCACGTATGCCTGCATCGGCGGTTGTGTGTACGACTCTACGGTTGTGTGTGTGTACGTGTGTGCGGTCGATGGTGGGTACGTATTAGCTGCTGATTGCGAATACGTACTCGCATTTGACTGAGAATATAGGTCTGCGGCTGCATGTGGGTACGTATTCTCGGTCGGCTGTATGTCCCTTCGCTGCACTGGGCCTCCACTCGATTCCAGCACCTCTTCTTCAAACTCGTATTCAAAACCGTCGTCCGCCATGGCTGTGGGCAGGGGTATATCTGTGGCATTTTGGTCCACCGTATCTGTGACAATTTGAGTGCCAGTGTCGGTCGCTCTATAGTAGGCCGTAATAGTGTCGGTAGGCGTAAGTGCATCACTGGCCAGTTGCCTGTGTGCCTCTGTACTCGTAGGTAGGGGGGCCACTGAGTCCTGGCTCATATCTATATGCGTTGTTGTTGCTTGTGTATCTGCTTGTAATTCAGTTGCCTGTGTGGTGTGTTCTAAGTCAAGGTGTGCCGAGTGAGGCTGTGTATGGGCTGGTGTAGTTGTTGGTGCCATGGGCTGTGGGGTTGGTACTGGCAGTGTTGTGTGCGCACTGCTTTTCTTGGGTAACCTCGTGGGGCTGTTCTGAGCAGTGTCCTTCTTAGTCGGACCATCTCCCTTCCCACTGTCGTTGGCGGCCCTATCCCTGGTATGATCGTCTTGCGCAGTGCTGTGCATGCCCACTGAATTGTCCTCTATTTTAACCTCCCGGTCCGTTTTCTGCACAACAGGGGTGCCCCTTTTGGCAGGTCTTCCCGGTCGCTTCCGTTTAATCGGCGACACAAGCCTAGCCGGCACAAGCATAGGTGATGACTGTGCCTGTGCATTGACAGTCGCAGGTGCGCACACCTCTGTGCCAGTATCTTCCTGATGCGCATGTACATGTGTATGTACCGAACTGTCCTGTGTGCGTTTCCTCTTGGCCTTATCTTGACTCCCTTCTCTTCTTGACTTTGCCTGCAGCCCACCTTTCCCCTTGGATCGTTTGCGCTCATGTGTGTGCATGTCATCTGAAGACCCGTCACCTTCCCTCATCTCCTTAGTATCACCTGCAACTGTATGTGCACGTGTGTGTGTGTGCGTGTGTGCACTGTTAGCCTCCTGTACAGCCTTCTCAGGATCAATTACAACCTGGGGCGGCAACGGTGCATCAATGCGTGTATGAGCCCCATCGTCGTCCTCTTCCTCGTCCGTTACCTTCTTTGTTTCTTGTTGACTATCTGTCGCATCGTACCTTGACATTAATCCACTCTCGCCTATCACACCCTCCCTCATATCCAACACGCCATTAGTATGACCTTCGTAGTTGGCGTCGGATGTGCTGCCGGTGTGAATAATCGCCTTAACTCGCCTGATCTTACTCTCTTTCTTGTGCTTCTTATGTTTCTTGTGCTTCTTTGCTCGTGAATGCCCATGCGTGTACGTATGTCCGCGTTCATGTACGCCTCCATCACTTCCTTCCGATCCACTCCACTCCATGTCACCATCCCGTTCATAGACACTCTCACCTATACGCTTCTGTTTGGTATCACTTGCACTCGTCGACTGCCCATCTTGTTGATACCTGTGTCGATGCTTGTGCTTAATAGGCGATACAGAAGCACCCTCAGAATGTACATCGTGTCTGTGTTTGTGCTTATGTTTTGGTTTGGGTAGCGACATCTCGCTCTCGTCATCCCTGTTAGCCCTAGCAAGCAGTTTTCCAAATGACACCTTGGGAATCACTGCACCAGTCCCTTCCGCACCATCTTCACCCGCGAGAGCTTCACCATACGTCCCGGTATCATCGTCTCTCCCATTGCGGGAAGGATCATTCCTACGTGTGCGCATGCTTGAAGGCGACTTACCGGATGATGTACAGGTACACGCGATGTGTATGTATGTGTACACGTAAACGTGTGAGAATACAATGAAATGCGACGCACACTTGACTGTACTCAGGAAATCTATCAGTAGAGATCACATGAGTAGTAGATGATGTTCTATGCATTGGATGGTGCTGTCCGAGTGCACTGTGGGACACACGTATAGGTGCAGTAACTCAACCATAGGGCACGTATCACAAGCAATTGTTTCGAAAGTGTGTCGTTTCGATGGTGTGTCGTTTCGATGATGTGTCGTTACGTATGCATGCGTGTGTGTATATAGTGTGTAACCAGCAAGATAATCGCCTTGTATCTGGTGTTTGTTGTTGCAGATAACTTTAGCTATCCTCCCTCACTAAACTTTCATGACAGCTACGTCTACTATGCGTATAGATACCTCAGCCGATGTGATAGTCTGGATTGTGCACCAGACAATATATATGCCGCTATTACCCGCAATTTTGCGCTAGCACTCCCGCTTCAACATACACCGTTACCACCACCTACATACACAATATATACAATATACAGGCATCTAACACCTGTTATATTATGCAAATCAAATACAGATCGTCACCCTAAGAGATAGCATACAACCTTGAGTGTGCAGTACATCCGAAGGCCTCTCCTCTATCGCTCACTTCACACACGGTACAGTAAGGCAAATCGACACCCAACATTTGATGTCTCGGGATTCAGCCACAAATCCATCTAAAAATAGATTCTGTGGTGCCGAACTTCTGTTGTTTTGGCAGCCCGCCCATAATACGTAAAAACTGAACGTGAAATAGACTATGGTGCCTACTGCTACATAGTGCTGTGTATTTAAAATATGTGTGAACATACAGAAATATAGACTCGTAAATATGTGTCTGTGTATTTTGTGTTTAGAAATATAACGCACACGAAAGTTCGACAATCAGAGGTTTGCTTGCGTGTAAAGCACACTTGTAAGGTATAAGAGAGGGGCGAATGAAATAAATAGTGTAAGGACGGTTTAAGCCGGCTACGTAGGTGTATCCGACCAGTGTTTAAGTGAGGGCCAGACTGTTGCATCAGCACGACACAACACAACCACCTATTAGTCAATTAGCACACCAGATTTAGCAACCATTGTGTGTTCATTACAAATCTAGTCGATGCCATACATCCGTATATGAATTCGATCATAACCGCTACACTTCTATCCACGAGCACGTTTTAAGTTTTACAAGCACACGTAAGTTTCCGCCTCTACAAAGGTGAATCACCAACACTTGGGCTGTTTGATGATACGTGATCCATAGTCTTCGCCGTCGTAGTTTTCACAACGAAGGTCACAGGCATTCTCTTCCGTCTTGAGTATCGTTTCACGGATTACTGAAACTACCACGCTTTAACTTA